TTTTTCCAAGTTAGCATTTTAGGAGGATACGAATATTGAGAAAATATGCACCAGTTCGTATTGTACGTTACGAATTTTGAAAATAAGATATTACATTTCAGATCTATTCTGTATTTCTATGTACCAACTCGTTTTTACAAAGTATACTTAAAGCAACTTTACATGGGTAATATTTTATCCTTTCATCTCTCTCTCTCTCTCTCTCTATACTATATATATATATATATATATATATATATATCTTTATATATCTATGTCTCTATCTATATATATCTATGTCTCTATCTATCTATATATATCTATCTATCTATATATATCTCTATCTATCTATATATATCTCTATCTATATATATCTATATCTCTATTTATATGTGTGTGTGTAGAATCTTAAAATTTAATAAAACTACGAGCAAACACAAAATATGCAGAAATAAAACTAAATGTCAAAAACTTATAGGTGGTGTATAACAGCGTACCAGCTTTAAAAAACAGGAAAAGATAGTCCGTCTTTCACACACTACATGAACGCGGGTGAGAATCTGTTATATAACAACAGATGAACAAACTTGAAATTATTGGAGAAGAAAATTCATGTGCTTGAACAAGCACATGATCCAAACAAATTGAACAAGCACATGATCCAAACAAATTGAAGAAGCACATGATCCAAACAAATTGAACAAACACATGATCCAAACAAATTGAAGAAGCACATGATCCAAACAAATTGGACAAGCACATGATCCAAACAAATTTTCAAGTGGTAAATTATACGTTACATTACAGTTGTTAATAGTTAGAAAAGTAATTAAGTATTTTGTGAAGTGTTCTTAACAAATTTGAAAAGTACTTAGTAGTACAGGAAAGTATAAGAATGTGTTTTTTACTTATTATTATTTGTTTGTTTGTAACTAAGCACAGAGCTACACAATGGGCTATCTGTGCTCTGCCCATCACAGGTATCGAAATCCGGTTTCTAGCGTTGTAAGTCCGCAGACATACCGCTGTGCCACTGGGGGGGATATTATTATTTGACAGAGATCAAGTACCGAAATATTAACAGCTATATAGATTATAGACCTTTTTCACTCAGTTTGTTTGCCTGTTGTTAAGTATAAAACTACACAATAATGAGTTTGATTTGTTCGGCCCAACGCGGGTATCGAAACCTAATTTTTAGTGTTATACCACCTCAGACTTATAGCTGAACCACCCAGAGAATTTAATAACTACAGATATACTGAATCCTTTGAATGAACAGGAATATTAATATTATTCCTACTTTTATTAAACCTTGTAGGTTTAATTACATCTTTTCTTCACAGACATTCAATGGAACTGAAGGACTGCGTGAGTTCTGAAACTCTTAACATACATGTTACAGTCCAACTTTGAAAACTTTTTTTTTCATAACATAGATTTAAATAATTATTCATCAGTTCCAGAGAACACGCTACATTTATCTCAGACATTAGTAATCATTTCAAATGCATTCAGAAACGCTGTAGTGAATCAGGAAAGTTGATCAAGATTATCATTATATCATACGCTTTTGAATGTGACCTAATGGTTGTTTAACATTTCAGAGTCATTTGACACTACGTATAAACACTGCATTAGTCAATAATATTAATCCACTTGCTTGATCGTACTTATGCATATTATCTGAAATTATCGTTCTACGCGTAAAACGTGATAATAGTAAAACTTTTAAGCTAGCTTTAAACCTAAAATAAGTGTATTCCAGTATGGATTACAGCAGAGTTGTTTATTAAAGAAAAAAAACGATTTTGTGCATTCTTTTACCCGTTGCTGCAGAATTAATATACGCGAAACGTAGAGTTTTAATGTATTTCCCATTTATTCTTCTTATTACAAGGAAAATATTAAGTTCGTTTGTGCATTACAAAACACATTCAGTGTTATTAAATCATTGTTTTTTTGGGGAGTTCTTTATTACTCGTAAAATTTATGAATAAAAAAATAAAATAAATATGTATAAAATGAAGAACTTTAGGCTACAGAGGTATTAGCACGTTTATAAACCCCTAGCCACAAATACAGAATCGACGACGTTATGTCCTTAAATCACACTGATGTATTGTTCATATCACAGCAGGGCCCGGCATGGCCAGGTGGTTAAGGCGCTCGACTCGCAATCTGAGGGTCGCGGGTTCGAATCCCCGTCGCACCAAACATGCTCGCCCTTTCAGCCGTGGGGGCGTTATAATGTGACGGTCAATCCCACTATTCGTTGATAAAAGAGTAGCCCAAGAGTTGGCGGTGGGTGGTGATGACTAGCTGCCTTCCCTCTAGTCTTTCACTGCTAAATTAGGGACGGCTAGCGCAGATAGCCCTCGTGTAGCTTTGCGCGAAATTCAAAACAAACAAACATATCAAAGTAGAAAAATTAATAGCAAGGTACTTAAGTGTCGAATATGGTAGAAACGAAATTCGTAATTACGAAAAATATATCATGTTAAAAATTACTGAGTATTATCGACACTCCAAACAAAATATGCTGAAATATCTTTTTAAATTTCTCGAGTCGTGTGTTTCTCTAAACGCCAAATCCAATTTACTGAATCTTATGACGACCATTGATTTTAAATGTTAGAGCTATAGACAGATAGCTGGAGCTTAAATCTGGAGAGTTGTTGAGTTTCTTGTTTACAATTCTAATATACTCGGGTTGAGGCGTTAATGACCCAAGAACCTCAGGCGTGTTGACTTCTACAGGAATGTAAGCGGAAGGCTTTAGCGCATATTTAGGTTGCAAAGCCCCCCCCCCCAAAAAAAAAAGAAGAATAAATAACCCGATATTACAACTTGTATCACCACTTCAATATATAATTACACTCCTTCGAAACGACTATTTTATGTAGATTTATAACAAATAAAACTTAGAGCAGCCTTCTGCAAAGAGCGCATTATCACTGTTAAAGATATATCTTATATACCAATGATACCGGAGGATTTTAACGAAAATACACACTTCTTTTTTTATTTTTTTTCGCGAGCGAAACATGTAGTTGTGTTTGTTTGTTTTTAATCTCAAAGTTATACGGTGGGTTATCTGTGTTCTGCCAGATTTTTAGCGTTATGAGCCTTCAGGTTTACCACTGAGCCACCAGCTGGGTGGGAGAGGCATGTAATTTTGATGTTTTCACTCTTGTACAGACATTTATAAACTGTATTTGGTGAATGAGAATATTTCTCTGTTGATGACGCTTTTTCTCCTTTTAATAAGTTACTAATAAAACAGTTTATTTATTAACATTTTGAAAGATAATAGGTGACTTTCGTGTCCTCTGAATAAACAATTGCATATAGTGCGGCAGAAATGAGGGGGGGGGGGCTCTAGTTTTTGGGCAATCTAAAGTGGTGACAGAGTGAAGATGACCATATTTAGCGTCTCTAGTCTGGCAGACTGAGAAGATTTATCACAAAAAAAAGATACCACGTTATCTGAGGGGTGGGGTGATGGAACTGTCTGTATAAACTGGACAACTAAATACAGCTACACATGAATGCGATACCACATTATCTGAGGGGTGGGGTGATGGAACTGTCTGTATAAACCGGTCAACCAAATACAGCTACACATAAATGCGATACCACATTATCTGAGGGGTGGGGTGATGGAACTGTCTGTATAAACCGGTCAACCAAATACAGCTACACATAAATGCGATACCACATTATCTGAGGGGTGG